ATGTCTTCTTAATTGCGTCATAAAGTGACATAACACACAAAGACAGATTTAAGAGAGATAGGCCTTTGGGTATTCCTCTAGACAGCACACCGAGTGAGTGCAGCGTTTAAGAATTAGGGAACGTTGTGCCTCTTGTGCAGTGATGTCATTGATTGTTCAGTCATTCAGCTGCTCTGTGATTGGCTGCCTGGTCAGATACACTTAGCTACTTAATGAATTTGCTTAACATATTTAATGGAAATTTGTGAGTTTATTATTTTTTATATTATGTAATAAATGTATGAATAATAAAGGATGTGTTTTATATTGTTATATTCAGTTGCTCTGTGATTTGCAGTTTCATCTACTGTACAGTCGGCTACTTTTGCTTTAAATGGTCCGTCACTTGACAAACATCAGAGTAAAGCCACAAGGCATATTCTATTCACACTCCATTCAAACATTATTACACAACATGGTAACACCTGAAGTTGGCATTACCCTGATATATACCTGATATCACCCTATATATATTTTTTATTTTTTATATTTTTTATAATATATTTCTTTTTTCTGCATGAAAATGTAAAATGTTTACATTTGTCCATTGTGGTACAATGTTGCCTTGAGGCAACAAACGTTTAATAAATACATCAATTTTAAAATTATGAAAATGTTTATTGATACTGTAACAGTGTCCAATTTTAAGCAAGAAAAAACATCACAAATATTTTTTTCCTAATTGATATCATATTGCATGCCACACAGGGTTAATAATGGTAACACTTTATTTTGATAATCCACTTTAGATATTCGACTAACTACAAGTATCTTTGAAACATGTCAACTAGCAGTCATTAGAGTATTAGAAGACTGTCTGCTTGATATCTGTTTATTTTGATAGACAACAGACATTCAGCTGACTATAAGTAACTGTGCAAGTACTTATTCTACTAACCCTAACAGTCTACCAGTACTCTAACAAGAGTTAGTTGACATGTAGTTAGTAGAAAGTCTAAAGTGGACTATCGAAATAATATAAAAGTGTAACCTGAATAACTGGGGATTTTGGAGAACCATTCTGCATCCAAACTGGCTTTATATTAAAAGTCAAGCTAAATTCCCCTCCTCACGATGTTCAGAATATCTGGATCACACTCTCAATATCTCCATAATATCTGAATGAGCTGAACACTGCTGATCTAATGAGGACAGAAGATGTGCATAGGCCCTAAATGCAACACTTGTGTGCTGCTTTACTGCATACTGGGCGGTATTTGCTGTACACTGCATACTAGTTTGAAAAACTGTACTGTACATACTGCATCATGCAGGTATTCCCTGCATGCAGAGCGCACATACTGTACACAAATAAATACTGCATATTGAAGAAGCAGCAGGAGTAGTGCTACAGTGGTGTAAGTGCACTTGATCTCTGCGTCTGAGCTGCATTAGGACTCAATGTCGGGCATTTAGAAGCGCTGGTGCTGATTGGCTGATCACAGCTTGTAATCTCTTTACGTGTTCAGAGAGACACAGTGTTTAGCTGGACAAACCTACTGTACACAGGGGTTTCCACTGCACACCACACAGGACTGGACTGCTCTTTGACCATAAACTATTTCCATATGACAGTCCGGGAATTTCATTTTTTTCCCTGGTATGCTGTAAACACATCTCTGTCAATGAGCTTTTATGAGACCTCAATTTCAAGTTGAGTCTTATGCCAGGTCCGCTGTGTGAAGACGTTGTGTAACAGGATTAACACTTATAGTAACCTATGCTCATTGGCTCAGCCTTAAAAAAGTTGCTATATAAGTACTGTATACTTCTTTTCACTCAGACTAGTGTATACAACAACAGTACAGTAATTGCATTTTTTTCAGTTGCATGTGATTATAGTATAGCCTTGTACATGGTTTACTATTAAATATACTATATTAAAAATGCAACATTAAAGAATTCAAATTTTACTATTCTACATTAGATGTAGATCCAGATATAGTCTAATTTTTTTTTTATCCAGTTATCTGTAAAATATCTTTAACTTATGTAAGTCTGGACAAATAATAATAATAATAATAATAATAATAATAATAAAACAAATTAATAAAAAAAAAATCATTGAAATTTATGGTGAAAAAATGTCAGCTGTGGTTGCTGGAACTTTGCTGTAAACAAATATGGTATAGCAACATTTTAGGTTTTACGAATTGAATTAAAATTTACATGAAAATAATGTGTATTTCATTAACTGATATAAAGTAAATTTTCCAACCTACTAAAATCTTTTTTAGAAGGTTGTACCTTTATAATATACTGACAACCACTATAAAAATACAGCTGGTAATGAGAAAGTCACATGATGAATCAAAGTTTATCACAAGCTTTTCCACATGCTGAAGTAAACACTAATATATCGGTGCACATAATGTCGTACACACACACACACACACACACACACACACACACAAAAATATATATATAAATAATTTTTGTCACTATGAATAAACCACAGTTATTGTACTTACAAAAGCCATTTATGATCTCTTAAAATGAATCTGTAAATGTGAGCTGTCACAGATAATTCTGGCACTGCAAATTTGTTTTTAACTGTAAATTATTTACAAAAACTGTAAATTCACAGTATTTACTGTAAATGTTTCTGAAACGTGCCGCTAGATTTATTAATGTTTCACTATAGTAAGGAAACTTACTGTTAAACAATTGAAAGATTTTTACCAAAGCATTTTTACAGTCTATTACTGTTAAAATTACAAACATTTTTTATAGACATGAAAAAGAAATAACCAGTTTATTCATTAATGTGGAAGGCCACATCAAGCACATTGCTTTGTGGGATATGGTGTTTCATGCAGTGCATCCTGGATGTATACTACAATATGGTGACTGTATGCATACAGAAAATTTGCATAATATTGCGTATGGTGTGCATACTGTATGCTGCAGAACTAGTGAGAACAGTATGGAAATGTGCTACTGTTTGCTGAGCATTGTGGGTGTGGAGATCTGTGGATCTCAAGTTATAACGATGTTGGTAAATTTGAGTTCTCAGCGATGTGTTAATTGTACAGTATATTTAGGTCAGGTGTGGTTTGCTAATTAACATTAGTGGTATTCTACACAGAAGGTCTTAAGATTAAAGATTAATATTATAGCATATTACACACAATACCAAAAGTCACATATAAGGCAAAACAGTTCTGTTTCTTTTTATTTATTCTCTTTATGTTAAAATGTTTCATTATATGATTTTCATATTCATGTTGGTTTATGTATTTTTGTCTTTTTTTAATTTATGTTTATTTATATAATCATCTACTTATTTATTAGGGCTGCCAGTAGATTTATCTTATAATTTTCTGGAGTTACTTCTTCTCAGATGCTGAAATTGATCAATTTTGTATCAAAATACAAGCAAGGCAAGGCAAGTTTATTTATATAGCATATTTCATACACAATGTAATTGCTTAACATAATAAAATAAAATAAAAATGATTATAAAACAATCACAACAGATGCATAAGAAATAAGCAAAACAATAAAAGATGAGAATAATATACTGAAAATACCAAAAATATTTCCATTTTAAGATACAGAATCATCTGTAGTGCGTTTATCATTTTTACTACAGTCCTCTCGTGAAATCTCCAGCTCACTTGTACCATCTGAACCACTGGAGAAACACCAACCATCCACATTTCAAACTTCAAAAGTTTGATGATTAAATTAGCAAATTTACATTAGCCTAAGCAAATGTATAATTCTTAAAGGAATAGTTCACCCAATTATTAATAACATTACATTTCATGCAATAAATGCTATTTATTGTCATTTTAGCATGATTTGAAAGACTCTTAAAGGGATAGTTCCCCCAGAAATGATAATTACCCCATGATTTACTCCCCCTGAAGCCATCCTAGGTGTATATGACTTTCTTCTTTCAGACGAATCCAATCTGAGTTATATTAAAAAATGTCCTGGCTCTTCCGAGCTTTATAATGGCAGTGAATGGCTGTTGAGTCCAATAGAAGTCCAAAAAAAGTGCATCCATCCATCATAAAAAGTCCTCCACATGGCTCCGGGGGTTAACAAAGGTTAATAAATTCCTCCTGAAGTGAATCAATGCGTTTGTGTAAGAAACATATCCATATTTAAAATTTTATAAACTGTAATCTCTAGCTTCCACTAACTTTTGTACGCACATTCACAAAAGAGTGGCATTCTAGCGGATGGCGTAGGACATATACTAGCATAGAATATGCTAGTCTCGCGAGAACCAAGTTTTGTTAACAGCAAAGGAAAACCAGTCTCCTCTTGGCTTATATCGAAATCCTCCGACATTTTCCTTTACAAATCCTCATTTTGTACTTTTAATTAGTGACCAGTGTTTTGCTCTCTCCTCCGTCCTGCACCATCTACTGAAACGCCACTCTCTTGTGAACGCATGAGCGACGGTTAGCGTAAGCTAGAGATTACTGTTTATAAAGGTTTAAATATGGATTTTTCTTAGGCCGTTATTCACCCCCCGGAGCCGTGTGAGGCACTTTTTATGATGGATGGATGCACTTTTTTGGGCTTCAAAATCTCAACACCAATTCACTGCCATTATAAAGCTTGGAAGAGCCAGGACATTTTTTTTATATAACTCAGATTGGATTTGTCTGAAAGAAGAAAGTCATAAACACCTAGGATGGCTTCAGGGGGAGTAAATCATGGGGTAATTTTCATTTCTGGGGGAACTATCCCTTTAAGGGTCTTTCAAATCATGCTAAAATGACAATAAATAGCATTTATTGCATGAAATGTAATGTTATTAATATAATAATAATAAATATTTAATACGTTGACATTCATTTGGCAGCCTTAATATTTATTTATTATTTTAGTTTTCTGACTTAGTTATGCCATGATTTCATTTGTTTCTGCTTCATCAGTGTTTGATTTAGTCTCTTGTTTTGCCCTGTGTGTGTGCTGAGCTGTTGAACATGTCTTTTTAGGGAACCTCCTAAAGAAGACACAAAGCCTCAGCCAGCTCAGTGAGTACAAGACAACTCTTCCAGCGTACTTTGAGCTCTCAGCCTTCCTTTTCCACCCTTTGCTGTCTGTGACACATACCTGAGAGCTGACCTGTGATCAGTTATTTGGCTCTATGATGTCCTGTAGTCGGTTACTTTTGTATAGCATCACCTCTACTTTTCTTAATACAGTGCTTTTACTGAAACTGTTCCTGCTTTCTCTCCCCTTACTAACCTTTTAATCCATTCAGTAGCACATTCGTGTTGCTCTAGTGATCCATGTGTACATGTCAGCTGCTCCTCCACAATGCTCCAGTAATACAGCACTACTGTCCTCTTGTGATTCATACTCAGCTGCTGTCGTATTGTGTCTTCTTTCTCCTCTCTCAGTCCTAATGCTGCTGTTTCTCCGATCACTCATCTCTCGTTAGTCAATTCTAATGCAGTACTCTCTTGTTTGTCAGTAAAACTATGTGAGCATCCTTCAAACAAGATCAGTTTACTTAAGTTAAAATGGCATTAGACTTGTTTTAAGAGACTATATATTTAACAAAGATATTTTAATTTGTAAAAAGTATTTTTTTAATTTAATTTTTAATAGTATACCTTAGTAAATTTTGGTATCGGTAATTTATTTTTTAAAACAAAATAACAAAAACAATGATCTAAAAGGTTTAATGTCTGTTGTTCCGAAGTACATGTTTTAAGGGTGTTTAGATATAAAAAAATAAAAATACAGATTGAAATTTTTTTCCAATTTTTTTTTTGCAGTGTAAAAATTGAATTATTTATTTATTACATTTTAAAATGATTTGTAAAGTTAAAGTTATTTTTGTGGAACCCATGACATTTTTCAGCTGACCCTTTTGGCCAATTAATGCATCCTTGCTAAATAAAAAATATTTCATTAATTCATAAATACTTACATACATAATCTTATTAACTCCAAACGTTTGAACCGTAGTTCAAACATTGATAGTCTATTCAAAATTGAAACTCTGCTCACTATTATGTCATTCTAAACCTGTTTGACTTTCTTTTTTAGAACACAAAAGGAAATATTATATCCTAGCTGAAAAAGAGCAGCGTAAACAGTCTGTTCAACATCCCCTTTTGTGTTCAGGTTTGCAGTGACATGAAGGTGTGTAAATGATGAATTTTCCTTTTTGGATGAACTGAAATTAACAGCTAGAAGATTCGACACACACACACTTACAAACAGTTGCAATCAAACATTACAGCACCGTTCAACAAAATGTTTTGGGATTCCTTGGTGTCGTCCTAGCAAATGAGGAAGAGAGAGAAACACATCCCTCGGTTCTTGCCACTTGATGTTGCTGTGCTTGTCTGAACAGGTGGAACCCTTTCAGTGGAATCACTGAGCTGGTTAGTAATGTTCTTCAGCCCCAGTCAAAGTCCACCAGTGAGGAGCAGCCAAAGCCGTAAGTACAGTTGATACTGAAAGTGCTGCTGAAAGTAGATGGCGACAAAGATGTATTTTAAGATAAATTTGCTGAAAATGTACTCACCCTCAGGCTGTTGTTTCTTCATCCGATTTGGAGAAATGTAGCATTTCATCACTTGCTCACCAATGGATCCTCTACAGTGAATGGGTGCCGTCAGAATGAGAGTCCAAACAGCTGATAAAAACACCACAATAATGATTAAATAATTCTCTCCTGATTCAGTCAAAATGACTTTTTCACTGGAGGAAGCATTATTATGGATAGAGGACTCATATTTACGCCAGAGGCAGCGGTTTGAAGTTAAAAATGTCTTAATGATGGATTTGTTTCTTACAAACATGCAGCATTTCACTTCACGTGGGTGGTGAGGCGGCACGGCTGCAGCGTGGATGAATCTAATGTTTTGAGGAGTATGTGTGGCAGTCAGTCACCGCACCGGTGTGGATATTTACTGTACTTCGCAATCACAGATTCTAGCCTATGTCTTGGAATATATGACTCAAATAAGCATTTTCACCGGATATTGTCATCTGAACAAGTGTATGATTCTTTAGGGTCTTCATGAAATGTCTGTAACATACTTTGGTTAAAATTCATCAATGGTCGTGTAAAACAACACCCTTTTTCCTTAGTCAAAAACAGCTCTGTTCAAAGCGAGCCGTTTCGGTGCATGTCTCTTTAAATGATAATGAGCTACTGCTCACCCCGCCCCTCTCTTCCGTTTTGTGTGTATTCGGTGGTGTGTTACCATCAAAAATAAAACTAATCCACTGCGTCCTCAGTGGCTCTGATGTCGGGAGAAAATGAAGACTCTTATGTTCACATCCAACTACAAAACACCTGGACTCATATTCATGAAAATTCTCAGAGCAAAGAGTTGTCCTAGTGACAAAATTCAAAGAAAAATTTGTAGAAAAGTGGCCGTTTCCCCTTAAAATGAAAGAGAAGATCCTAGTAAAGATAAAAGAGATTCACAAAGCATCTTAACCCTTAAAAGAGCTCTTAAGGTCCAAAAGTGTTAGGAGTAGAGAGGAGGACTTTTAAGAGGCTTAAGAGTTTCTTTAGCAGAGGAGAAAATAGCCGAAAGACGGAGAGGGAGAAGAAATGTGTTGCTTAATTAGACACTAGATTAGATCGTGCAACAGGGATCATGTTTGTGACCGGTCTTATTAGAGACACAACAACATCTATATATATATATATATATATATATATAGATAGATAGATAGATAGATAGATAGATTACCAAATCATTTTTTATGTTTCTGTAATGGTTAATCCACCGGTATGTGTAAGCTCTTTAGTCACAGTAGTTAGGATTTAATGGGTCGGCCCCGCCTCCTCACTAAGATGAAAGTTTTTGTCTTTTCCTCGCTCAGAGTTGCTCTCAGATTGGTCCTGAATCCCTCTTAAAGCTGCAGTCCGTAAATTTTGCCTCTTTGTCGCCATCTCTGTTTGAAAACATGGAATTGCAGCTGTGTGCAGAATTATCTAGCTTGTGTGGGTGGTGAGGCGGCACGGCTGCAGCGCGGATGAATCTAATGTTTTGAGGAGTATGTGTGGCAGTCAGTCACCGCACCGGTGTGGATATTCTACCCGTACCACTCAAATTAGAAAACATTATTATAAGCTAAACGTTGTGAATCGGGTTAAAGTAAGGCGATAGTTTTGAACACTGGCTGGTTATGTACTTGCTCAAATATTGATTTCGTATCATTTTTAACCAATAAAAGTTACGGACTGCAGCTTTAAGATAAGATTCCTAGTTAGAATTGCGGTTAGCTAAAATTAGGAGCTTTCTGAGAGGATTCTTAGAAGCTTTAAGAATACAGGCCCTGGCATTGCTTACGAGATATTGCTGTCACTACAGCTGCTTGAGCGTGGAGAAAATAGCGGACAGCGTACAACTGGCTGAGGGTGGAAATATGCTAATACTGGAGTCCGTCAGCGGCCATGGGCGGGGCCTGCGCAATATGACGTCATAATGCTCAGAAAATCAAAACGGCTTGATAATTGAGACTGTTTAGGTTTTTTGGGGATTAAAAAAAAAAGGAGTGAATGGATTCTTATCATTGTAGGGTGGTTGTGTCCAAACACTGCTAAGACACATTTATATGCAAACACCATGTAAAAGTGAATTTTGCATCCGGTGTCCCCTTTAACTGATGGACTGGAGTGCTGTGGATTACTTGTGGATTATTGTGATGTTTTTATCAGCTGTTTGGACTCTCATTCTGATTCACTGCAGAGGATCCATTGGAGAGCAAGTGATGAAATGATACAATTGTCTAAATCTGTTCCCATGAAGAAACAAACTCATCTACATCTTAAGTAGCCTGATGCTGAGTACATTGTCAGCAAATTTTCATTTTTGGTGAACTATTCCTTTAATCCAGTTGGGCCAAGCAAAACTGGTGTGGTGCTCTAGTGGGTTAGACCCCATATATAGTGAATGGTTTGTCACTATATTTATACTACAAAAGAAATGAGTAACATTTTACTTGAAGCCTTTATGTACAGTATAATGCATTATATCTTCTCATAAAGTCAAAATGAATTATAATATCTGCAGATTCCTTGTTACATCTGGTTGTTTGTCATGTGTTTGAATGCGTTATACTTTCTAAAGGTGTAACAATGAATAGATCAGTATTATGATGCATTATAACTGTGGTTACAATTATTCATGGGATCATACAATGCATTATAAGGTGCATTACAATGCTCAATTAATGCATTAAAAATATGTTTATAATGCATTATATAAAAAGGCTTCAAGTAAAGTGTTACCAAGAAATGCTCCGGGCTCAAAAGTACCCATGGCTGCATTAGCAGGGCAGATCATGTGAAAGTTACCATGTGCACATATAGATAAAAACACTGCCAACCGTATGTGCGTACTAAAGTTGTTATGCTTGAATGGACCGTCTTGTCAATCTACTAAATTGTATGTCATCACAACACGCTCAATCCATTAGCCACGCATGACCAATGACACCAGATGCGGAGAGACAGTGTCGGATCGTTTCAGTGTGGACGCCATCGATTTTCTGGGACTCAAACTGAATGTCATGATGTGTAGTGCATGTACAGTAAAACCCGTCCCTGTCACATACTTCACTGCTCCAAGCGACTTTAAAACAATGGAAAACGCCCTCCGCATCAATAAACTTCTGATGAGTAAGTGTTTGCTCGGGATAGACTATTGATCGAGTCTGTCTGCATTAGGTTTGGATCTTGTCAAGCAGGCACACTCTCTCATCCCCGTGTTTTACGAGTCTTATTAAAGTATTAGACGCATCCTATCAGTGGGTCTCGTTTCAATATGGTTTGACTGATGAATGTAGATTAGGAATAGAAGTGTCAAGCCTATTATATTAATGCAATTACTACAGAATAAAGAACTTAAGTCATGTTTACATCCCCAGTGCTCTCTTAAAACCCAAAGAACCACAACACTCATGTACCAAACAATTACCTTGTTTTATACACTCTCAGAAATAAAAGTACAAAATCTGTCAATGGGGCGGTACTCTTTCAAAAGGTACTAATATATGTACCATTTAGGTACTAATATGTACACTGTAAAAAATGATTGTGATTTTAACAGTAAAAGACTGTAAAAATGCTACAGTAAACACCTGTTAACTGGATAATAGTAAGTTTCCATACTATATACGGTGAATAAATGTAATTACATTTAATGTAATTTTACAGTAAAATACTGTTAGGTACTAATATGCATAACTTAGGAGTAGATAATAGTGTGTAGTTACTATTTGCACTTGAATGCAGAACAAAATAGTGTTATTTTAGTAAAATTGATTTACTATTACACTATTTATTCATATTTGGATTAGGTTTTATTTTCATTTTTCAGTTTTCATTTTAATTTTGATATCTTTAGTAGTTTGGTGTTTTTATGTGCTTTTGTCATTTTTATTAGTTTTTTATTTCTCTTTAGCTTTAATTTATTTTTATTTCAGTTTAGATTTAATCATTTTACAACTTCAACTTATTTATTTCAGTTTAAACTTTATTTCAAGGCAACATTTCTCTTTTTTAAGTTTATCGCCTGATATTTATATTTTATTTTGTTTCAGCTTTATTTCAATTTACAAAAAAAGATTTGTAATAGTTTTAGTTGACAGCAACAAAAAGTGGTACAAATTGGGGTTTTATAACTTTTTTTTTTTTTTTTTTTTTGAAGCAAGGAAGCCATGAATCTCACATTCACTGAACAGCTTTCAAGCTATAATATATAATACAACAGGAAAAGTATAGCTAGTTGTAAACATGAAAAGTTTAACCTGAGAAAACACATTTATTTTATATTTTGGTGAATTTGTATGATTTGTACTATTTGGCGTATGAGAGAAAAAAAAAAAAGTATGATATTTAGAAAAAAGCCAGCATGAAGGTCTATCCCTAAACTTAACCCTGGTGTAAAAAAAATGTAAGAAAACATATGAATGAGATCATACAAATTCACAACCAATGCACCAAGATAAAATAGTTTTTAATAGCCATGAGAGTTTGAAAAGTCAATCCATTTCCTCAATCTCAATCATTTTAGTTTAGAACCTTTTACAGTTATTTATTTATACAATATGTAAAGTTTATTTCTAGAAAATAATTATTGTTATTATTAAACATTTTTAATTACATGACTGTACTCAGGCATGCCCTCAAAATTGCTACCCTCATAAACAATCATAAAACAGCTCATAATATTTAGTTTGACCTCTCGAGCTGGACAAAAAGAACGTTTTCTTAAAGTTATATACTTCTTTTCACAAGATTTCACAATAATTTTTTCCAAGTATCACACTCTATTTTGCATCCTATTTGTGGAAATTCTTCTCTTTTTTTTGCAGTAACATGCAGGAGGATATGCTGAACATGACAGCACTCGAGTGGCTGAATTATTCTCATATTCCTGATGAGTTTTGCACTTATGTTAATTAACAGGTGTCACACCTGTCACAGCACAAACTCAGACTGATCCAGGAGCAGCTCTTCACACCTGACACCGTAAATCAAGAAAACACTAAATGTCCGTCTCTGCTCTCCACAGGAAGCTGCACCAGCAGTTTGAGATGTACAAGGACCAGGTGAAGAAGATCGGAGAGGAGGCTCAGAAGAACCCGGAGCAGAAGGGAGACTCACCCACCTGTGGGATCTGCCACAAAACCAAGTTTGCCGATGGCTGCGGCCACGTCTGTTCTTATTGCCAAACCAAGTTCTGCGCGCGCTGCGGAGGACGCGTCTCCCTCCGCTCCAACAAAGTATGTCTGACTTCTCCCTCTCACCATAGAGTCTGTAGATTATACAAAGACCTCATTTATGTGGCCCTGTGTCTGTATGCTGTATTTCTACATCTTTCATGTTGTATCTGGATTTGGCAGCTTTTGATCACACAGTAAGTGCACCATTTAATCGCGTGACCACAAGAGGGTGCTGAAATGTAACAAGAAAATAAAGCCCCAAAATATTCCAATATCTGAGTGTCTCCCTAACTGCTGCTGTTGTCTGCCTCCACAGCGCTTGATCTCATGTATAAACAAACTATATGACAGAATATATTATACAGAGCTGGGTGGATTACTTACAAATTGTATATATATATATATATATACACACACACACACACACATATACAGTGGTGTGAAAAAGTGTTGGCCCCCTTCCTGATTTCTTATTTTTTTGCATGTTTGTCACACTTTAATGTTTCAGATCATCAAACAAATTTAAATATTAGTAAAAGATAACACAAGTGAACACAACATGCAGTTTTTAAATGAAGGTTTTTATTATTAAGGGAAAACAAAACCCAAAACTACATGGCCCTGTGTGAAAAAAGTGTTTGCCCCCTAAACCTAATAACTGGTTGGGCCACCCTTAGCAGCAACAACTGCAATCAAGCGTTTGCGATAACTTGCAATGAGTCTGTTACAGCGCTGTGGAGGAATTTTGGTCCACTCATCTATGCAGAATTGTTGTAATTCAGCCACATTGGAGAGTTTTCGAGCATGAACCGCCTTTTTAAGGTCATGCCACAGCATCTCAATAGGATTCAGGTCAGGACTTTGACTAGGCCACTCCAAAGTCTTCATTTTGTTTTTCTTCAGCCATTCAGAGGTGGACTTGCTGGTGTGAATGTTCTTTTTAGCAACATCATATGACCCCTTTAGTGAAACCAGCACAGGCTGTTCAGTACTGTTTCCACTAGTGGGCATCGTCTCCCATTATACTCCACACAGTGATTCAGGCCTTTCCTCTTGATTTCAAACACCTATTATAATTTTTTTGTCTGACTGCAGTTTTGTCTTACAGTAGTCAGTAAACCATTGAAGTTTAGACTTGAATACGTGAATCAATACTAATATTACAGTTCATTTCTCTCTGTTCCTCTCTTTTTCTTTTTTTATCTCTCGCTCACGTTCCATTTCATCGCACTCTCACTTTCTCGCATACATTTACTGCAGGGGGACAAATTGTTCTGCAGCTTCTCATTTTCTTAGTGTTTATTTTCTGTTTATGGTTTTATCATTATGTTTAAATTCTCACAAGCCCTTTTATCATGGACCATTAATATTGTAAAAGTTGAATTATAATGACAATCGGATGTATCCAAAAATAATGCACTTAATTGTCACATGCTGCTGGCAGATTATTGTCCCATTACAGTGAAAGAAAATTAAACATTTAGGACTATTAATATATTTATACTACCATTATTTATATAATATATTTACATTACTGTTCAAAAGTTTGTGGTTAGTTCGAATTTTCTAATGTTTTTTAAATAAGTCTCCTATTTATTTGATCAAAAATACTGTTAAAAAATAGTAATATTGTGAAATATTATTATTACAGTTCAAAATAATGTTCTCTATTTGAATATATGTTAAAATGTAATTTATTGCTGTGATCAAAGCTGAATTTTCAGCATCATTACTGCAGTCTTCAGTGTCACATGATCCTTCAAAATCAGTATAATATGATGTTTTGCTGCCCAAGAAATATTTATTATTATTATAAATGTTGAAAAGTTGTTGCTTAATATTTTTGTGGAAACCATGATATATATATGTTTTTTTATGAAAACAATGTTAATTTGAAATAGAAATCTTTTGTGACATTTGTCACTTTTGATCAAATTAATGTGCCCTGCTGAATAAAATTATGAATTTGAAGTAAAAAATAAATAAATTACACTGACTCCAAACTTTTGAATGTTAGTGTATATATATATATATATATATATATACATGTATATATATAACATTTTACCCCCCCAAAAACACATTTAATTCTGAGGACACTTCATATTTGATATAATGCCTTTAATGCTGATTGATTAAAAAAAAAAAAATGCAGTATTTCTTTTTTTAAAGTATTATTAACTTTTTTTTTTCATTTAGAAAATGACAAAACAATATATAAATAAAATTAAATAAAATTACTGGCTTAATTTACTCTACTTTCATTTAATTTTGAGGTGAGATTCATCAGGTGTTCAGGTAGACATTTGATTTGACACTCGCACTAAAGTAACTGACTGAACATCAAAGAGGAAAGCTATTCACTGAACACGCTTACGTAACTCTGGCATAATTTCAGATGATTTATTTAAACAAGTGTCTCCTTATTTAATGCGGCCCCTGTTGTGAAAACGGATCCCGAGCTTTGTTTGTTGTGTAGATGTACACATTAGCTCACTTCAGACAGCTGCTTCAGCCAGACAGTTGCTTTCAGTGTTTGGAGATTATTTACATCCTAATTTGTCGGCCGCCTGTGTTCTCTGCCCTCGGAGGAGCTGAAGAATGTGGAAAATAACTTTACTGATGGTCAATTGTTAATCAGTGACTAATTCACTATTCACAGCTCATGAATGATGAATGGTGTGCATAATGCATAGTGTTTAGTGAGGGCGCAGCAGCAGGAAGATCTGTACATGTTTCTGATGAGATAACACTGCGATAAACAGCACTTGTATGTAGTTAGCATTAGCAATGCTCACTCAGCTTGAGTTCTTGTTGGTGGAGGCAAAGACATTTTAGGTCTAATTCAGGCACCCCAAGGAAACAGTATAGTGGATTTTCAGTGCCAAGGTTTTAAGTCAGAAGTATACGGGACAGCAAACCAAAATATGTATTTATCTAGATGGTAGTTTTTAGTTAAATCCACTTACTTGGCACATAAGGTGTTGTTGGATTAGTTTCCCTGGCTTGAGATCAATATGGATGATTATGGCATAATTATGTTAAATTAAATTAATCGAATTGTGATGAATTTGGATTCTGGAAGCTGACTGGAGCTCAGCAGGTTGTTGTATTCCCGTGGTGCTGTGGCTGTCATGGACACCGGCGCTGCTGTGTCTGATGTCAGTGTCAATGGCTGCACATGTTAGTGAGGCCATGGATTGAGTTCCCCTACAGTGCTAGATGACCAGATCCTTTTCAGCGCTGGGACAGTGATGTCATGGAGCCCTTGCTTCATGCCCTTAAACACACACACACACACAGACACTTGTTGTGTTTCCATGTTTTATGGGGACATTCCATAGGCGTAATGGTTTTTATACTGTACAAACTGTATGTGCTATTGCCCTACACCAACCCTACCCCTAAACCTACCCCTTACAGGAAACTTTGTGCATTTTTACTTTCTCAAAAAAACTCATTCTGTATGATTTATAAGCTTGTTTCCTCATGGGGACCTCAAAAATGTCCCCACAAGGTCAAAATTTACTAGTATTACTATCCTTGTGGGGACATTTGGTCCCCATAACGTGATAAATACCAGGTACACACACACACACACACACACACACACAAACAAACACACAAACAAACAAACAAACAAACAAACACAGACACAGACACAGACAGACAGACACACACAAACAAACAAACAAACAAACACAGACACAGACACAGACACACACACACACACACACACACAGACAGACAGACACACACACACACACACACACACACACACTGCATTTTATATGGGAGGACAAGAAAAAACATACAGCTGACAAAAGACCCCCGCACTTTATAATAATAATCCATTATAATAACATTAACTAACCATAAAATGCATTTATAGTGGGTATCAATGCCTTATAATGAGAATAATTGCAACTAATAATTCTGAATAACTGAGTTACATAATTCTACTTTGAAAGGATCAACACCCAATTCTGTGTGTTATGTGTTAAAATGCATAGCTAAATATTATAATGCACTATAACTGTGGTTGGACATATTCGTGAAAAGATCATACATCATTATGAAGGCCTTTATAATGCATTAAAGGAATAGTTCACCCAAAAATGAAAATTTGCTGAAAATGTCCTCACCCTCAGGTCATCAAAGATGTAGATGAGTTTGTTTCTTCATCAGAAAAAAAATTGTAGAAATTGAGCATTACATCACTGACCAATGGATGCTCTGCAGTGAATGGGTGCCGTCAGAATGAGAGTCCAAACAGCTGATAAAAACAGCTGGTATTTTGTCCGGAAGTGATGGTTTAAAGTTTAAAATGACTAACTGACGGACTGGAGTGGTGTGGATTACTTGTGGATTATTGTGATGTTTTTATGAGCTGTTTGGACTCTCATTCTGACGGCACCCATTCACAGCAGAGCATCCTCTGGTGAGTGATGTAATGCTACATTTCTAAAATTTTTGAATGCTATGAAGAAACTCATCTACATCTTCGAAGTCTGATGTTTTCATGAAAAGGTCCAGTTATGACATTTTGATTAAACATTGTGAGGTAAAATAATCTGTTAAAATAAAATAATAATACACTCTAAAAAATGTTGGGTTGTTTCAACCCAACTTTGGGTCAAATATGGACTAACCCAACTTTTGGGTTAAAACTTTAATGTAAAAAAATTTAACCCAATGGTTGGGTTAGTTCATATTTGACCGAAAGTTGGGTTGAAACAACCCAACATTTTTTTTAGAGTGTAATAATAATAATAATAAAAAACATCTATAAAGTAAAAAAAAAAAAAGGGTGAATTTTCATTTCATGTCAACTTCAAGTGCTAACACAAACATTATTATATAGACATTCAAATAGCTGTGCAAGGTAATGAAACTTTGATCTATTTTCAGATCTAATAGATCTGAACAGACATTACTTATTTATTGTTATTAAGGTTTATTAATGTAATAAAAGTTTTTATAAAGTTTTGAACCCGTTTAACTCTAATGCTTTACAGATGTGCTTTCCCAGTATCCCTAACTGGCTACTTGATTTTACA